ACCTGGCCAGTTTGCTGGGTATCATTTGGGAGGTGTGAGGAAGTTTTAATTCTGTGAAACACCCCTCCATTCTGCTAGGGTCAGGGTTGATTGGTATCAAGTGACTCCTTATTGAGCCTAATTAGATCTGTTCGTCAGTGCTGGGATTCCCAGAGTGGACCCTTCCTGCCCCCAATTAACTGGAGACAATTTTCCTGACACCATGAGCCCAGTGCAGGCACCACCTGCTGGTTCCCTGGACCAGGGCTGAAACATACAGCACAGTGGGTGAACCTGTCCTCAATATGTGCAAGAAAATTTAATCATGGAGGTGACCAATCAGAAGAAACTCATCCTGTAAGCAGAATGGACAGAGTTGATGAGGATCTGCTATTTCAATCACAGGCTGATTATCTCCTGTACTTGCTGCAGTTAGGTTCAGCCGACACAAGAGAAAGGCCTCCGATTGGATGAGCAGTGAACAGTTAAATAAGCAATGCCAATGAGGGAGTCACTGGACATTTTTCTGTCATGGGCTGTGGGTGAAATAACTCCGTGAAGGCCTGTATCCTGTCACCAAGTCACCCTTTATTTACACGTGCATAGTGCATGGCACTGACCCAGCTCCCTCAGAGCCAGCTCCTAGACTGAGCAGAGCCCTGACACTCTTGTTTATACCTGTCAGCCAGGACTCCCTGATTGAGGCTGTTAACCTGATCTAATTAGGGAATTAATATTCTATGAGATCCACTAGACTGACCTTGTTTCTAATCCCTACAGTGGGCACTACTCCTTACTGTATTGGGCTGGTGCCAGTTGCCAGAGTGGCATTATGCAGGGCTGAAGAATTGTCTGCCATATTCACATGGGGTAGTGTGTTTGCTGGGGGCAGAAAATTGCTCCAACAAGTGGGGTGTGGGAATAGTTGGAAGCTGCAAGGAGACTTGGGAGAGATGAAGTCTGAAAAGGGGATGTGGGGGAGAGGAGACTGCAAGTAGACAGTTTAAAACTTGTCAACAAAGAAATACTCAGTTAAGTAGGAGCCAAAAAACTTTAGATTACTGAAGTGATGAATTCTTTACAGATACACGTGTAATCGGGGACAGTATAGGAGAATAGACGTCGTTCTCTCTGGCAAGGATAGAGAGGCTGTGCTGCCTTCCTGGTGCCTGGGTTCATGATATCTCATCTGGGCTGCAGAGGACCTTAGAGTGGGAGGGGAAACACCCAGTTGTCATGGTCCCTGTAGGTATCAACGATATAGGTAGAAAGGGGAAGGAGCTCTGCTAAGGGACTATGAGCAGCTAGGGGCTAAATTAAAAAGCAGAACCAAAGAAGTAGTAATCTCTGGATTCCAACCTGAACCACGAGAAACTGGCACCGGGTCAACAAGATTAAAGAGGTAAATGGATGGCTCAAAGATTGGTTTAGGAGAAACAGGTTCAAATTCATGGGAGATTGGCACCAGTACTGGAGATGGAGGGAGCTATTCTGATGGGACGGGCTCCACCTGAATCCTGCTGGGACCAGAGTCCTGGCAGTTGTTGTGGATAGGGCTTTAAATTGAATAGTGGTGTTTGCGTTCAGTTGTATGGAAACTTAGAGAAAAAGTTAAGTGGGGGTGCTCAGCGAAGGTTTTTAAAGTTTTCAGAACAAGTATTTGGACAGAGACTATGGAAAGGTTCAGTAATCTAACTTCAGGCACAGTAGATAAAGGGACAACTGTGAGAAGGTGGGACAGTCAACGCAGGACTGAGTGTTGTGCTTAATTGCACACAGTATACAGAACAAGGTAAATGAACTTGTAATGCAGATTGAAATTGGCAGGTATGATGTTGCAGTAAGAAATGAAATTACATCAACAGCAAGAAGTGATATAGAATCAGAAGGCATAGAATGTGTGTGGGTAGTGTTGAGAAACCACAAAGGAAAAAAGACTCTGATGGGAGTTACGTACAGGCCTCCAAAAGTAGTCACGTTGTGGAGTAGAAAATAAATCAGCAGTTAGAAAAGGCATAAGAAAGGCACTAATACAGTCATGGAGGACTTCAATATCCAGGTACGCTAGGAAAGTCTGCTTGTTTGCGGATCCCAAGAAAAGGAATTTGTAGAATATATACGAGATGGTTTTTGGAGGACCTTTTGTTAGACCTCATTAGGGAACAGCAAGTCTGGATTTGGTGATGTGTAATGAGGCAGGAGTGAAGGAACCTCTAGGGGACAGTAATCATAATATGATAGAATTCACTCTGCAGTTTGAGAGGGAGAAGCTTGAATTCGATGTAATGGTGTTACAATTGAGTAAAAGTAACTACAAAGACTTGAGGGAGGAACTGGCCAGAGTTGTTTGGAAGGGGAACCTAGCAAGGAAGATGGTGGAGCAGCAATGCCAGGAGTTTCTGTGGGTAATTTGGGAGCCACAGCAATAATTCACCCTAAGAAAGAAGGAACTTACTAAAGGAAGGACGAGGCAACAATGGCTGAAAAGTGAAGCCAAGGACAGCATAAATGCAAAAGAAAAAGCATACAATGTGGTGAAGATTACTAGGAAGCCAGAGGATTGGGAGGCCTTTAAAAATGAGCAGAGGACAATTAAAAAAGCAATAACGGAGAACAAGCTAGCTAAAAATGTAAAAGAAGATTGCAAGAAATTTTTTAGATATATAAAAGGAAAGAGGCAAGAGTGGACTTTGGACCACGGGAAAATGAGGCTGCAGAAGTAGTAATGGGAAACAAAGCAATGGCAGAGGAACTGAATTGGTACTTTGCACCAGTTTTCACAGTGGAAGACACCAGCAGCATACCAGAACTTTAGAAGAGTCAGCGGGCAGAGGTGAGTGTAGTGGCCATCACTAAGAAGATGATGCTGGGGAAACTGAAAGGTCTGACGATGGATAAATCACCCAGACCAGATGGACTACATCCCAGAGTTCTGAAGGAGATAGCTGAGGAGATTGTACAGGCATTGGTGGTGATCTTGGTGGAGTCAGGGAGAGTTCCAGAGGACTGGAAAATGCCTAACGTAACACCGCTGTTTAAGAAGGGAGGGAGGCAGAAGACAGGAAACTGCAATTCCTACCTTGTCTGGCCTACATGTGACTCCAGACCCACAGCAATGTGGTGACTCTTAACTATCCTCTGGGAAGTAAGGGATGGGCAATAAATGCTGGCTTAGCCAGCGATGCCATCGTCCTGTGAATGAATGAGAAAAAAGTTAGCCTGACCTTGGTTGTAGGTAGGTGTTTCGAGTGCTAAATTTTCATTTATGATCTGGACGAAGGAACTGAGGATGTTGTTGCTAAGTTGCAGATGTCACAAAGATAGGTGGAGGGATAGGTAATGTTGAGGAAATGGAGAGGCTGCAGAAGGACTTGGACAGGCTGGGAGAGTGAGCAAAGAAATGGCAGATGGAATACAATGTGGGAAAGTGTGAGGTTATGCACTTTAGTCAGAAGCATAGAGACGTAAACTATTTTCGAAATGGTGAAAGGCTTCAGAAATCTGAAGCACAAAAGGACTTGGGAGTCCTAGTTCAGGATTCTCTTAAGGTTAACCTGCAGGTTTAATTGGCAGGTAGGAAGGCAAATGCAAGAATACAAGAGCAGAGATGTACTGCTGAGGCTGTATAAGACCATAGTCAGACTGCATTTGGAATATTGTGAGCAGTTTTGGGCTCTATATCTAAGGAAAGACAGGGTGGTGAAGAAGGAGTTTGACATGCTTTGCCTTCATTGGTCATAACAAATTCTGATCACCATTCTATAGGAAGAACATTGTTAAACATGAGAGGGTGCAGGAAAGATTTACAAAGGGGAGAGGCTGAATAGGCTGGGGCATTTTTCCCTGGAGTGTCAGAGATTGATGGGTGACCTTATGGAGGTTTATAAAATCAAGAGGGGTATGGATAGGGTAGATAGCCAAGTCTTTTTCCTAGGGTAGGGGAGTCCAAAACTAGAAGACATAGATTTAAGGTGAGAATGGAAAGATTTAAAAAGGATCTGAGGGGTAGCTTTTTCACACAGCGGGTGGTGTGTGTTTGGAACAAGCAAGGTGGTGCAGGTGAGTACAGTTACAACATTTAAAAGGCACCTAGATAGATTTATGAAAAGGAATGGTTTTGAGGGATATGGGCCAAGTGCTGGTAAATGGGACTAGGTCAGATTGGAATGTCTGCTTGGCATGGATGAGTTGGACTGAAGGCTCTTTCTGTGGTCTATGATTCTACAATCCCTCTGTCAGTAGGTTCAAATAAGTTTTAGCCAGTGTCTTGATTTGAATGCAATTTCACTGTGCTTCAGTGAAAAATGAAGCAGAGACTTTCCAATCTCTGAGCTCCAAAAATGTTGTCTCATCCTCTGCCTGTGGCACATTTTATACCATGCTTTATGTACCCTCTGTGTTCACTGATCTACATTGATTACCACTCTCCTTAAACCCCCAACCTGTGACTCTTCTGGCAAGTCAACAATCACATAATGCCCCTCTGATGTATCTATCTAGCCTTACATCCAAACTAAAGCCATTTGAGCCCAAATATCTGTAATTACTTCCTTAAATGTCTGCGTCTATACTTTTCCCCGTTTAACAAAACCACTTTCATACTTGCATCTTTCAGTCATTGCTCCTGATTTCTCTTCCTACAACCCTGTCAGTTTTTGTCTATGAAGCATCTTTGAGTTTTTCTGAATTATGGGCACTATATAAGGTACAAGTTATTTTTATAACCTGCTATGGTGTTTTATTATCACATGTTCTCTGTAACAGATGTGGAAGCAAATTAAGATTTTAGAAGTAACTGAGTCAGCTGCATAAATATGAGTATAAGAAAGCTTTGAGTGGATGCAATCCATGTAGATGGAGCTGGTGGCTCAGAAAGTGTTGGCACTCTTCTGTAGAATGTTGGAAACTCTGATGAACAGCAGACTAAGAACAAATTGCTGAATGCGACAGTGTATCAGGAACAGATGTTTTAACATAATGTATATAGCTTAGCTTGGCTTTTTATTTTTATTTGAGTGCAGTGGAGAGCTACCAGAAGCAAAACAAATGATTGACCAGGAGGATTTTGTCATGATGAAAAGAGCCCTGCTGTCTACCCAGGTGAGAAAGATCTGTTAAAACATGTCCTACAGTTGGTAGATCAAGTTAGGTCTGTCTTGTCACTGATTTATTACCTGTGTGAAACAGTGCTGTGATTGCAGATTAAATATAATGTGTGTATCTAAATGTTGTTTAATTGAGTCTCATGATGTATGGTTTGGAATCAGGGAGTGATCTGGTGCAGAATGAGCTGTTCAGCAGGTTATATGTGTGCCCGCTCCTTGAAAAAAACCCTAATTTGTTCTGTGAAAGAATATAACCCTAGATTAGCAACCAAAGGGATCAAAAAGGACACAAAAGGTTGCAAAAAAAAGGAAGGCAAAGAGAAACTGCACAACTAAATTTAGTGGAAAAGTTTTCTGCAGATCCATCCATAAGAAAATTAGGATAAGGCAGTGAAAGGCTGCTCATTATAAATTCACATAATGACAACTCTATTTCAGAAATATTGAACGATTACTTTGTTCTCTATCTACCAGGGAGACCAGCATTATGGATATGACATTATAAGTTAAGATCAAAAGAAAATGTCAAAACATTTAAAGAGAGAAAGGGAGGAGAAATTTGATAAATTTGGAGAGCATAGAACCCACGGTCCAATGGATTGCTGCCATCTGTCCAGTTGATTGTAAACAATCCAGCGGCACTGTTTCAAAGATCAAGGGAATCGTATATTGTCCTAATTGATATCAATCCTGATATCAACATTAAAAAAAGGGTTGTCTGGCTATTATCACATTACTGTTTGTGGGAGCTTCGTGTATAAATTGACTGCTGTAATTTCTACATTACAACAGTGATTTCATTGACTGTAGAATACTTTGGAATGTCCAATGTTCACAAATGACACTATATAAATACGCATCATCTGTGAAAAGAAGTTAGGGAAGCCACGTATATTGTAATGTCCAAAACTCTAGCACTCTCAGAATCAACACGATGCTGGATTACTCCCTGGTGCAAAGGGGAAGAATGTTTAGCCAGTGAATAAGGAGGGCTAGATCTTACAATGGTGCAGCGGATTTGGGTTCTGTATATGCACAACGCTTGCTTATTCCACCCTGTGGGATCCTGTGCTTACTGTTTTTGCTCAGATCTTCCCCTGTGAAGGAAGATGTCAGGTTTTCTGACAAATGTAATTTTCAAACAGTATTTTACATGTTGGACATGAAAACAGGGAAACAAAGACGTGTGTGTATAAAGGAAGTAAAACAAGTCCAGATGCACTGAGGATGTTACCAAGCACGGTAATGAACCGTCTGCGGAACAACAAACCAGCTCGGCGAACCAACCAACCTCAACACCCACAACCCGAGCTACAAATCTACTCCAAAACCTTAGACAAGTCCAGAAAGTTATAGATCATTGAACTTATGCATAATTGAAGGTTAATGGAATTTTACCTGGGAATGTGATTTTAAAAGAAAGGAACAAATTCTGAAACTATAATGAAGTTAGCTGAAATTTCAAATTGAAAAGTCATGAGGTCATACTTGACAAACCCTATCAATTTCTTTGAAGATGTAACATAAAGGATAGTTAAAGGGACTGCAGTAAATGTCTGGATTTCCAAAAAAAAGCCTTCAATTGAGAGGAGATAGCGCAGTGGTTATGTCACTGGGCTAGCAATCCAGAACCACAGGCTATTGCTCTTGAGACATGGGTTTAAATCTCATTTTGGCAGATAGTGAAATTTGAATTTAATAAAATCTGGAATTAAAATTGAATCTAATGGTAACCATGTAACTAATGGTGATTGTCATTTAAAAGAAAATCTGGTTTAGCAACATCATTTATGGAATGAAAAATCCTCTATCCCAGTCTGGCCTACATGGGACTCCAGACTCGGATCAGTATAGTTGACTCTTAACTCCTCTTTGGCTCTGTCGGACATTTCAATCAGTTCGAGGGCAATTGAGCAACTAATGCCATCTTCTCCAGAAATACCCACATGCCATAGAAAAATAAAAGATATTGCATAGTTGACTCATGGGCAACAGCATAACATGTTGGATAAGTACATGAATAGGAAAGGCTTGGAGGGATATGGGGCAGGAGCAGGCATTTGGGACTTGTTTAGTTTGGGATTATGTTCGGCATGGATTGGTTGGACCAGAGGGTCTGTTTCTGTGCTGTATGACTCTGTGTGGAGTAGAGGTAACAGAGGGATAGCCAGCTGGTTTTAAAATCAGATTAAAGATTAAGTAGAGTTATTCAGACAGACAAATGGTGGAAAGTATTATTCAACAAGGATTGGTTCTGGGACCGCTATTATTCACCATTCACATACACGATTTGGTACTCAAACTCAAACCAGAACTCCATTCACAAACATGTAGAGCTGGACCCGATATACCAACCACTAAGAAACAAAGTTCTGAGGAAGGGTCACCGGACCCGAAACGTTAACTCTGTTTTCTCCTTCACAGATGCTGCCAGACCTGCTGAGCTTTTCCAGCAACTTTGTTTTTGTACTAAGAAACAAATCTGGCAGTGATGCCACCCACCCCAACAAATCAAGACACATCAATAACAAGTGGGACAGAACACCGACACTTCACCAGAGGCGCAATGATGATGTTACCTAGCATGGTGATGAAACGTTTGCAAACAAAATTACCAGTTTGGTGAGCAAGTTAACAACTGCATTGTTTCATATATGATAACAATGATGTTAAACTTGCATCAACAATTTTTTATTACTCATTCATGGATGTGGGTGTCACTGGCTGGTCAGCATTTATTGTTTGCTCCTGATTTGACCTTGTGGTGGTGGTGAGCTGCCTTCTTGAGCAATTGCAATCCATAGACCCACAGTGCTGTTAGGGAGGAAATTTCAGGGTTTTAACCCAGCAACAGTGAAGGAATGGTGATATATTTTCAAGTCAGGATGGTGAGTAGCTTGGAGGGGAACTTGCAGTGGGTGGTGTTCCCATGTATCTGCTGCCCTGTCCTTCTAGATGGAAGTGGTTGTGAGTTAGGAGGGTGCAGTCTGAGGATCTTTGGTGAATTTCTGCAGGGCATCTTGTAGATAGTACACACTGCTGCTACTGAGTGTCAGTGGTGGAGGGCGTGGATGCTCATGGATGTGGTGCAGTCAAGCGGGCTGCTTTGTCCTGGATGGTGTCAAGCTGCTTGAGTGTTGTTGGAGCTGCAGCCATCCAGGCAAGTGGGGAGTATTCCATCACATTCCTGACTTGTGCCTTGTAGATTGTGGACAGAACCGGGGAGCCAGGTGGTGAGTTACCTTCTGCAGGATTCCTAGCTTCTGAAATGGTCTTATAGCCACAGAATTTACATGGCTAGACTAGTTCAGTTTCTGGTCAATGGTCACCCAAGAAATGTTGATACGGTGGAGTGGTGGTTAGATTGTCTTTCGTTGCGGTTGGTACTTGTGTTTTGTTAATGCTTCTTGCCATTGGTTAGTACATGTCTGGATATTTTCCAGGTCTGCTTCATTTGGGCATGCGTTGCTTCAGTATCTGAGGAGTTGAGTGGTGCTGAACATTGTGCAATCGTCAGCGAACATCCCCGCTTTTGACCTTGTGATGGAGGGAAGGTCATTGATGAAGCAGCTGAAGTGAACAACAAGAACAAAAAAAATTACAGCACAGGAACAGGCCCTTCAACCCTCCAAGCCTGCGCCGATCCAGATCCTCTATCTAAACCTGTCACCTATTTTCCAAGGATCTGTATCCCTCTGCTCCCTGCCCATTCATGCATCTGTCCAGATACATCTTAAATGATGCTATTGTGCCCGCCTCTACCACCTCCACTGGCAATGCGTTCCAGGCACCCACCACTCTTTGCGTAAAGAACTTTCCATGCATATCTCCCTTAAACTTTTCCCCTCTCACCTTGAAATTGTGACCCCTAGTAATTGAGTCCCCCACTCTGGGAAAAAGCTTCTTGCTATCCACCCTGTCTATACCTCTCATGATTTTGTAGACCTCAATCAGGTCCCCCCTCAACCTCCGTCTTTCTAATGTAAATAATCCTAATCTACTCAACCTCTCTTCATAGCTAGCACCCTCCATACCCGGCAACATCCTGGTGAACCTCCTCTGCACCCACTTCTAAGCATCCACATCCTTTTGGTAATGTGGCGACCAAAACTGTACGCAGTATTCCAAATGTGGTCGAACCAAAGTCCTATACAACTGTAACATGACCTGCCAACTCTTGTACTCCACACCCCGTCCGATGAATGAAAGCATGCCGTATGCCTTCTTGACCACTCTATCAACCTGCATTGCCGCCTTCAGGGTACAATGGACCTGAACACCCAGATCTCTGTGTGCATCAGTTTTCCCCAGGGCTTTTCCATTTACCATATAGTTCGCTCTTGAATTGGATCTTCCAAAATGCATCACCTCGCATTTGCCTGGATTGAACTCAATCTGCCATTTCTCCGCCCAACTCTCCAATCTATCTATATTCTGCTGCATTCTCCGACAGTCCCCTTCACTATCTGCTACTCCACCAATCTTAGTGTCATCTGCAAACTTGCTAATCAGACCATCTATACCTTCCTCCAGATCATTTATGTATATCACAAACAACAGTCGTCCCAACATGGATCCCTGTGGAACACCACTGGTCACAGTTCCCCATTTTGAGAAACTCCCTTCCACTACAACTGTCCGTCTCCTGTTGCCCAGCCAGTTCTCTATCCATCTAGCTAGTACACCCTGGACCCCATGCGACTTCACTTTCTCCATCAGCCTACCATGGGGAACCTTATCAAATGCCTTACTTAAGTCCATGTATATGCCATTTACAACCCTTCCCTCATCTATCAACTTTATCTCTTCCTCAAAGAATTCTAGCAAGTTGGTAAGACATGACCTTCCCTGCACAAAACCATGCTGCCTATCACTAACAAGCCCATTTTCTTCCAAATGTAAATAGATCCTATCCCTCAGTATCTTCTCCAGCAGCTTCCCCACCACTGACGTCAGGCTCACCGGTCTATAATTACCTGGATTATCCTTGCTACCCTTCTTAAACAAGGGGACAACATGAGCAATTCTCCAGTCCTCCGGGACCTCACCCGTGCTCAAGGATGCGGCAAAGATATCTGTTAATGCCCCAGCTATTTCCTCTCTCGCGTCCCTCAGTAACCTGCGATGGATCCCATCCGGACCTGGGGACTTGTCCACCCTAATGCCTTTTAGAATACCCAACACTTCCTCCTCCCCCCCCCCCCCCCCCCCCCACTTTATGCCAACTTGATCTAGAGTAATCAAACATCTATCCCTAACCTCAACATCCGTCATGTCCCTCTCCTCGGTGACGTTGAAGTGGTTGAAAGTTTTATAGAAAGTTTGAGAGAGCAAAGAGAAAGGTATAGGAGATATGCTGACAGATTAGATGAAAGTTGGGAGAATGTTTATATAAAACAATGACCAGCATAATCAGAACTTTAAATGCCATAGAGTCTGTCATCATAATGAAACTGTTTACTCCTGTATCGTTCTGGTAAATCTGTGTTACATCTCCTGAGGCCGGTTGTGGTGGTGGTGGTGGGGGTGCGGGGGGGATGGTTGTGTGTCGGGGAGAGAGAGAGAGTGCACGCGTGCGTGTGTAGAGAGAGAGAGAGAACTGGTGTGATGCTGACCGGCTGAGGTTACCTTGAAGGATTCTCCTTCTCAACCTCTCCCCTCACCTACATAGTTAAGTCACCACCAGGTCATCTCTCTCTAGTTATAAAGCAGTGCTGTGGTCTGGTAACACTGTGGCAACTTGACTTGATACTGAGCTGGCAGCTGTATTCAAATTGCTGAGCCCAGCTGTAACGATCTCTATCCTGTTGTATGCGAACACACGTAAGATAAGGCTAATAATATTCCATTAGCTTTCTTATTATGTTATCTGTCGGCGCACTGGCTTGTAGTTATTTCTTTGTGTGGCTCAGAAGTCGCTCTTATCCTCTACAAACGGTGATCTAAATTCCTTAGGTTCAAAAATCTGAGCCACACACTTGCCTGTGGAGCTTGCTGCTTCAATCTGCTTTAGCTAAATTATTAATTAATGTAATGCAGAGCTGAGGACTAGTAACCTCTGAGGAAAAGCATTTGAGATAGGATAGTCCAACTGTTAGGCTGTTATGTTTCCTACAAATTAACTAATCACCATTCATGTATTGTCTGGAATTTTAATAGTTCTGATCTTCCCTTACCACGTCTTATGTGGAACCTTGTTAAATGACCTCTAGAAATCATTGTAATTAAAATTCACAGACACTTCCTTATTTACCATGTTCATTTCCTCCACAAGAAATTCAACTAGATTTGTTAGACATAACTTAATCTTTAGAAATCTATGCCGTGATCAGTTTATTCCCAACATGCAGTTACTCTGCCCCTTTGTAACATCCACGATATGGCTCAAAGGAATTGGGTTACAGATTAACCAGGAACTAATTCAAAAGCAAAACAAGCTCAAGGAACTGAAATGCCACCTCCTGCTCCTAATCAGTGTGTCTTGTATTTTACATTTGACAGACTTGACAAAGATGAAAATGCTCTGATCTCTGCTGAAAAATTGAGTAGTTCTTTAATTTTATATTTTTCTTTCTGTTCTTCAGCGTCGTTCGTTGCCTCCGGTTTGCACACACAACATGCTGGATGACTCCACAGATCCAATTCTGAACACAATTCGACGCATTGGCTTGTTTAACCATCCCAATGACCGAGTAAAGGTGAGGACCTGGAAAAGGATGTTCCCTGCACTTGAATGGAGTCTTACCTCAACACAAGGCCAGACTGAAATGTTTGAGTGAATTTTGTGTTCATTACTAAAAAGGATGCTAATACTGGGGAATAGAACTCTTCTCATTGTGGGAAACCTATATCCAGAGGTACTCTCTACACGCTGCCTGCATTACAGCCATTTCTACACTACGCAAATACCTCATTATTTGTGAACTACTGCGCGTAGTAAAACAAGTGCAGTTGAAAAGCAAATCCTCCCTCTGTTCGGTGTCTCGGGTCAGATGCAGCAAGACTTTGTGTTAGATATTATGGAGCCTTCTTCCTGCTTCAAAGCAGGTTGAGGGCATCAATGGTTAGGTCAGCATTTATCGCCCATCCCATTTCATGGTCATCGTTAGACTCTTCATTCCAAATTCTTTATTGAATTCAAATGCCGTCATCCACCGTGGCAGGATTTGAATCCAAGTCTCCAGAACATTAGCTGAGTTTCTGGGTTAATAGTCTAACAATAATATCATTAGGCCATTGTCTCCCCAAAGTTATTTATTCTGCACCCTAATTTTGTGACTTACACTACTCAATATTATTTCCCTCAAACTCCTTCACAAAAAATTATTTTTGTAACTTGGTGTTCATATATGTTTAAAACTGTAAAGTGAAAAAGCATATTTATTTTTTCTTCAACTTGAAGCTTAAGCAGATCCCCTCTCAGGGATCTGAAAGTTTAAGTTGCAAAATTGGAGCAATTCTTTTATTTCCTATCACCACGTCAAGCAACGATTGAACTTGAAAATTAGAAGGATCAGAATCAGTATGTGGACTCGCAAACATTTCCCATTATTGATAGGCTGAAAAGAATACAGTGAGAGACAATTAATATCTCTTCAATCTTTCAGTGCTTTCAACTGAATTTCCAACTGAATTCTGCTCAGTGCAATTATATTAAGTTGTCACTTTCCTTCTGGCATTGTTGCATTCTAGATATCCCAGCATTTAACAGAACTTAACTGAAGCTATTATGTGCATCTGCACAATGGTGCTCTGGCCCTTCACTATTTCCTCTCCATTCGTGCACAGATGCTTTTTCAAGTTGCAAAGGTATGAAAATAACCATTTTTTAATTGTTTAGGTAATCTTCCATCCTGAATTTCTGTCTTCCACCAGCCCACTGCTGCCACTTGATTATGAAGAGTTTGTACGTGGTTGTCACCTGGGGGTATTTCCTTCGTACTATGAGCCATGGGGTTATACACCAGGTGAGAGCAGTATATGATCTGCATTCAACTGAATTTATAATCGAGAAGAGGAAATATTGATAGGTGGCACACTCTGCTTCATGGCAGGAGCTAGCATGTTTAGAGAAATGTTACAACTATCAATGCTCACCATTATTTCTGTAAAAATCAAACAGCAGCTTCCAATTACTAAACATGTACTTAGACACAAAAGTCCAGAGATTCTTGTCCAAGATAGAGTGCTCCCTAGAAGGCTTTCTGGAAATACAGTTGTGCCACTTGATTCCACACTTAAATGTATTTAAATAACATGAGATGCAATGCTAATAGTATAGATACTGACTAAACATGCCACAGAAAGTTTGAACTTGTTGTATTCGCTTGCTGTCTGTAGGAAAATGCAAGTGCATCAATGTGTTGAGGACTCCAATGTGTTTAGTACAATACTTAGCTGTTTGCACAGAATGAGAATCTCAGGGTATCCCAGATCCAAAGGTCTGTAGCTGCTGAAAAAGCTGACTGCATTGGGAAAGAGGACAGAAGTAATTTTGAGACTAACTAACAAATTGGAAATCCTTCACCAGCCAAAAAGGCCAGTTTTCAGGAATAGTCCGATGTGTTGAGCCAAGATTGAGCTGGCTATGGGTCTGTAAGTGTGCAGCAGTGGCAGTATCTTAAACTGTTCTATCATTTATGGAGTTGTGGATAGCGTGGAGGGCTGTTGTAGGTTGCAATGGGACATTGACAGGATGCAGAGCTGGGCAAAGAAGTGGCAGATGGAATTCAACCCTGAAAAGCGTGAAGTGATTGGTTTTGGAAGGTCAAATTTGAATGTAGAATACAGGGTTGATGGCAGGATTCTTGGTAGTGTGGAGGGACTGGATTAATTTAGGACATCTGGTCAGCATGGACGAGTTGAACTGAGGGTGTGTTTCCATGCTGTACATGACTCTAAAACACTGGTGGCTTTTCAGTTGGAGGTGAGTGTCTTTGAATAAATGCTTTTGAAAGATTAATTTCAGTTCTGTCCTTCACCTAGTTTTCTGTAAGGGCCAGTTGGCTTCAGTTCTGATCATAACAGCCTAAATATGCACTTGACCAAAAAATGTGCTTAACCTAGGTGGTTAGACGAGAGTGACTGTCCTTTAAATCAAGGCAGAAATAGAGTCAATAAGGAATCCTAGGAAATTTGAAATCAATGGGATTGTATTACCCTGCCCCCCCGCCCTAGATTATGTGTCCACTGAAATTACCATTCCATCACCTTTTCCGGACCTACCATCTGTGGCCCTGACAATCCCCACCCTACTTGCCCTGGACTTTGGGATCCTACACTCTGGAAACTGCTTGTAATCCCAGTCTTGACCACTGCTGCCACTGGCTCTGCCCAGAGAACAGAACTACAAGCCAGGCAGGCTTTATGACAGCTGGCTATATCATCATCTGTCTTATTCTGTCTCCATCTACTGCCTATTGATGCATTTTCCAGCAGGTAGTTCCTGGATAGACATCAGGAATGGAATTCAACCAGGAACAGCGTGTCCAATTGTACAGTTCCAGAGACCTTGAACTCAGCGCAGGCTGATAATTGAAGTTGGAAAATATTTGGTCAGTTTGGTTTCATGGCTGAGAAATCCAATGAGTTCTCCATAGTACCACTGGGCTTCCAGCTCCTGCCAGTTAAGTGGCAATGACAAGTTTGGAACTGCACACTGCCAATATTATCGTCTGTTTCTGCCATTCATGTATCCATTAAAGAGGAACTCTGTGCCTGAGAATTATTGATGTTCAACTGTTAGTGTAATATTCATTGGCTCTTATGCTTTTTTTTATGGAAATAGAAGCGTAAACTTTACAAAAAATATAGGCTAGGGCATAAAAATGATGTTTCATGCTTGTATTCTTTTAATTGTGTTTCTGAATAATCCTGTTTCTCCCAGCGGAATGCACAGTGATGGGAATTCCGAGCATTTCTACCAATTTGTCTGGCTTTGGTTGCTTCATGGAGCATCACATCACTGACCCTTCTGCATATGGTGAGCCTTTGTCAGCAGTTCTGTGATGTGCTTGGTTCTGTCCCTGATGTTTATTGTGCCATCCCCCTTTGTTACCCCTCAGATGTGTTGATTTTTGCTATTTAGACAAATTAATCTAACTGGGAGCACCAGAGATAGGGGGAAAAAAAAATCCATCCTATTATATAGTAAGTTTCGGTACTCATTGAATAATAGAATTCCTACAGTGCAGAACAGGCTGTTTGGCCATTGAGTCTGCACCTACCCTCTGAAGAGCATCCCGCCCAGATCCGCAACCCCATCGTATCCCCATAACCCTGTTTTTTTTCATGGCTGATCCACCTATCTGTGTATCTCTGGACACTATTGGGCAATTTGGCATGGCCAATCCACTTACTCTGCACATCTTTGGACCATGGGAGGAAATCGGAGCACCCGGAGGAAACCCACGCAGACACTCGGAGAACATGCAAACTCCACACAGACAGTCGCCTGAGGGTGGAATGGAACCCAAGTCCCTGGTGCTGTGAGGCAGCAGTGCTAATGACTCAGCCACCATGTTGCCCTTAATTGTTAGAAATAGGCATTAGTTTGGTGAAGACATTAGTGAAGTTCAGGAATACTTGCACACTTGGAACTAGAGAAACGTTTAACTTGATTGCCCCTGCCTGAGGGATGTCAGTGAGCCTAAGAATATTGATACTTTTCTGACAGGAATCTATATTCTGGATCGTCGATTTAAGAGCCTGGATGAGTGCTGCAATCAGTTAACCTCATTCCTCTACAGCTTCTCTCAACAGACACGACGGCAAAGGGTAATTCAGAGAAATCGCACAGAGCGGCTCTCTGATTTGCTTGACTGGCGCTACCTTGGCCGGGTAAGCACATATTTGGAAAGGAACCAAGGAAAACAGTTTTTTTTTTTAGTAAAGACTTCTCATCCCTTCTGGTACCAGCTGTAATTAGGCATTATTTCCGCACATGGTCAGTGAGATCTCACCAGTGATAGCAAGATCCAGGAGGCTGTTTAACACAGTAGGACTAGTGGGTAGACTGGATAAAGAATTAGTTACAAAGCAGCGTTAAGTGAAGCATCCATTTGGGGAAAATTGAGGCTGACTGGTAATACGAGTATAATATGCTTTGGCTGAGAAGGGAGGGTAACAATAGACTGAGTGTATGTGAAAACATGATCTGTGGGGCTGGAAGAATGGTGTTGTTTTACAAATACACACAATGCTGGGGAAACTCAGGTCTGGTAGCATCTGTGGTCATTTTACATGCTGGGTCAATGCATAAAGCTCAAAATATGGTATCCAGTTTAAATTTGTATCATTTTCTTCACGTTGTCTCTTCTCATTTTTCCTTCCAATGTGCATTGCTTTACACTTCTGTGAATTAAACCCTATCTGCCATATTACTGCTAATTTCACCCATTTGCTGACCTCCTGCAAATTGTTAATATTCTACTCACTTTTTATTCCATTGTCAAGATTTGGTCTTCTGAATTTTGTTTGATTATCACTAGGGATTGGTAGGATATTTGCAGATTTCTTGCTAAATTTGTTTATGTTTTTGTCCTTTTAATGCCCTGACAGGAGATTGCGTGGCTGGTGAGCATGTTTCATAGAGTGTGTGGGTTACATCATGTCCCTGTTATAGACAGGCTTGGATAATAACTTAGTCTTCTTGTTTTACTGTATGGGCTGCATTGTTGTTTGATTGTGTGTTTGTATCTCTTTCAGTATTACACCCATGCCAGACTCTTGGCCCTTTCTAAAGCCTTTCCCAATAACTTCTCCCATGACATAGCAGAGATTTCTGCCGTAAGTAATCAAAGATTAGAGTTGATCTTTCTCTGCACTTTCTCAGTAGCTCTAACACTATATTCTGCATTCTGTTCTGTTACCCTGATGTACTTACGTAAGGTATGATTTGTCTGGATAGTATGCAAAACCATACTTTTCACTGTATCTCAGTACATGGTGACAATAATAAATCAAATCAAGTCAGATCAGGCCGTCTGGGTAGAGCTTAGAAATAAAAAAAGGGTAATTACCTTGCTGGGATTATACTACAGGCCTCCCAAAGTGAGAGGAAGATAAAGGAGCAAATATGTGGGTAATCACAAAAAGGTGCAAAAGAAACAGGATTTTAGTTGCAGGGCATTACATTGCCTTAGTGTGAAAAGATTAGAAGAAGTGGAATTTTTAAAGTGCATCCAGGAGAGCTTCTTGTGCCAGTACATAGATTGTCCAACTAAAAATGGGGCAGTGTTAGACCTAATCCTAGGGAATGAAGCTGGTCAAATGGTTGAAGTTTCAATGGACAAACATTTTGGGAATAGTGACCATAACTCTATAAGTCAATATGAAAGGGATAAGGATAGCGCAGAAGTTAAATGTCTAAATTGGGAGAGAGCCAGTTTCAATATCATTGGACAGGATCTGGCAAACATAGACTGGGAACAGCTACTTGCAAGGTAAGTCTATATTTGAAAAGTGTGAGTCTTTTAAAAGTAGCATAGTGAGAAATCAGAGCCAGTGTGTTCCTCTAAGAGTGAAGGGCAAGGGAAGCAAGTCCAGCAAACCCTGGATGCTAAGGAATATCAAGAGTTTGATAAAGAACAGGAAGAAAGCATACGTTATGTGCAGTGCATTAGAACTGGGAGAGTCGGGGGGGGGGGTCTCCAAAAGTGTGTATAAGAGTGTAAGATCCTGCTTGAAAAGGAAATAAGAAAGGCAAAGAGGGGCCACGAAATATCTTTATGGGATTAAGAAAAACCCCAAGGCTTTTTATAAGTATATTAACAGTAATTGGATAACCAAGGAAAGAACATATAACCAACCAAAGGGGCAACCTGTATATGGAGGCAGTGGGCATGGGTGGGGTTTGAAATGAATACTTCTTATCTGAATTCACAGATTGTATCACCTTCAATAACCAAAGTATAGAATATAAGAACAAGGAAGTATTGTTCCAATATTAAACATTGATTAGGCCACAGATACAATACTGTATGCGGTTCTGGTCGCCACATTATTGGAAGGATGAGATTGCACTGGAAAGGTGCAGAGGAGATTCACTAAAATTTTGCCTGGGATGAAAAATCTCACTTACGAGGAGAGACTGGATAGGCTGGGTTTGTTTTCCCTGGAACAGAGGATGCTGAGGGGGGCATCTGATTAGTTCATATTAATATACAAAATTATGAGAGGCATAGATAGAATAGATTGTGAGAGTCGTCTCAGGGCAGATATAAAGAAGACCAGAGGGTATAAGTTTAAGATGAGGAGTAAGTGGGTTAGAGAAGATCGGAGAAAATTTTCTTCTAGGTGGTAGAAATATGGAATGCACTGTCTGAGAGGGTGGTGGAGGCAGTTACTTTCGCAAAATTTAAGAAGCATCTGGATGAGCCCTTAAAATGCCGGGGCAGAGTAGGCTATTAACCAAGTGCAGGTAAACGGGATTAGTGTAGTTTTGTGTTTGTTGGTCGGTACAGACATAGTGGTCTGAAGGGCCTGTTGTTGTGACTATATGACTATGACACATTCCCCTCTTCGTTTCTTGCCCAGAACTTTAAACATCTCCTAGTCTTTGCACAACCAATAGAAGCAGCTTTTATTTGTCTACATTCTAAATCAGTAGTAGACTTATTTCAAATCTTCCCTCAATCTCTTTTGCTCGCCATTCCTACAATGTAACCTGGTAGCAAAAATTCCTCAACCTTGCAATCTTTCTGGTAAATCTCCTTGCGACTCTCTCAATGGCTTTCACATCCTTCCTGAAGTTTGGGGATCATAACTGTTTTTTTTTCTGTCAGGATGAGTTAGCTCTGCACAAAGACCAATTGACATAGAATAGATAAGGGACAACCAGTGGATGTGTTGTACTAGGATTTTTAGAAAGCTTTTGATGAACTCCCACATAAGCGGTTATTTTGAAAAATCGAAACACATGGGATTGGTGGTAATAAACTGGCATGGATTGAGAATTGTTTAGCAACGAGGGAACAGAGTGGAAATCAATGGGCTGTTTTCAGAGTGGAAGGTTGTGATAGGTGAGGTACCTTGGGAATCGGTGCCTGGATCCCAGCTATTTACAATAAACATTAGTGATTTGGATGAGGGAGTTAAATGTAATATTTTATGTTTGAGTTTGCAAGTATAGACAAGTGAGTGGACAAATACATGACAGATGCAATATAACATGGCTAAATGTGAAGTTGTCTACTTTTGGTAGGAGAAATTGAATGGTAAAGTATTATTTAAAAGGTGAATGATTGAGAAGGGTTGATGTACAAAGGCACCTGAGTGTTTTTGTACACCAGTCGCTGAAAGTAAAGATGCAGGTGCAGCAAGCAATTAGAGAGACAAATGGTATGTTAGCCTTCATTGCAAGAGGGTTTGCATTCAGGATCAAGGATGTCTTTATGCACTTGCGCAGGGTCTTGGTGAAACCACACCTGGAGTATTGCGTGCAGTTTGGTCTCCTTACTTAAGGATAGATATACTTGCCAGAGAGGGAGTGCAGCAAAGGTTCATCAGACTGATTTCTGGGATGGCAGATTTGAAGTACAAGGAAATGTTGGGTTGACTGGGCCTGTATTCAATAAACGATACACGAAAGAGAGGGGATCACATTGAAAAACGCACAGTTTGACAGGCTGAACAGATTGGTCAAAGGGAGAGTGCTTTCCCTGGCCAGCGGAGTCCAGAACAAGCGGTCGCAGTCTCAGGATATGGGGTAGCCATTTCAGACTAAGGTGAGGAGCAATTTCTTGATTTAGAGGGTGTTGAACCTGTGGAATTCTCTTGCACAGATGGAGGTGAAGTCACTGAATATATTTAAGAAAGAAATTGGTTGATTTCTAGAAGCTAGAATTGTCCATGGGATGGGAAGATGGAGGATCAGCCACGATTGTGTTGAATAGTAGGGTAGGCTTGATGGGCTGAGCGGCCTAGTCTTACTCCTACTTTCTATGTTTCAATGACACCTTATGCTTTATGCCCGTAATACAATTATAATAGTTCATCATTTTTAACTGCATTCATATTGAAGGGAGTTAATTTAGAGAGCTGACCGAGCAATGGAGCTGGATTAAACTGGTTGAAATTTTCAAAATATTAATAGTTCATTAGTTAATTTTCAAAGTGAAAAGAAAATGAACATTATTTTCTTCGCATTTAAAAATGGATCCTGATATTGATATTTATAATTGATATTCTTAACCCATTTCAGTTTACTCAGTGTGATCAATAATCTTTGTTCTTCATTATTTCAGAGTTTCCACTATCCACGGCCTACATCATTCCCACCTTCCCCATCCTTCTCCTCTGCGTCCAGCCCTCGTTACAGTGACAGTGACATTGAACCATACAATGAGGAAGAGGAGGCTGAGATAGATCGTAAAAATATCAAGCTGGACTCCATGCTGAACCTAATTCACGAGCGTAACAAAAGTCTAGAAAACTCTTTTACATTTAAAACATCCAGCACCAGTAATACTACTACACCCTCTAGGCCAAGTGCATCCTCTAGTGTCCGAGCATCTACTAGTTCCAGCAAGCCAGCTGATCCCAGTGATCCCAACAGGATGACCAATTCCAGTGATCCCAAAAGGCCAACCAGTCCCAGTACCTCACGTGATCCCAGCAAGCTGACCGATCCCAATGATCCCAGCAAGCCGACCGATCCCAGTACCTCAAGTGATGCCAGCAAGCCAACTGATCCCAGTGATCCCAGCAAGTCAAACAATCCCAGTACCTCTCATGATCTCAGCAAGCCAACTGATCCCAGTGATTCTAGCAAACCAACCAATCCCAGTACCTCACATGATCTGAGCAAGCCAACTGATCCCAACGAGCCAACCAACCCCAGTGATGTCAACAAGCTGACCAATCCCAACAGTTCGAACTGGCCAAGTAAACTGAGTAATCCCAGCAGGGATACAAATCCTAGTAATTCCTAGCAATCCCAGAGGTAGGAATACACCAATTAATTCCTCTGGAGCCAGCAAATTGACTCATCAGAATGGTACCATGGACACGATTTGTTTAATGTTTTAACTCTCATCTATCTGAGTGTAACTCAAGTCCAACCCAAACAGGGGGCAAAAGGATAGAAATTTTCAATAAAACAACTGCATTTGCTGGTGCAGCAATGTATCATTTGACAGTTGATGCATATTAACTGAACTGATGGAGAGGAACAGTATTTTTGCCCATTACATTGCAGCTGAGTTTTATATGACTACTTCATGGAGCAGGGTCTTGTGGCTCAGCGGGTAGTATCCCTACGTCTGGGCCAGAAGCTCTGATTTCGAGTCCCAAGCCATCAAAGGTGCTTTTGTGACATGGCGAAACAGGTTGATTGTCAGCCTGAAAATCCTTCCTACACAGGACAGGATACTCTGCTGGTCAGCCATCTCTCTGAAAGGAAAGGCAAACTGCTTCAGTCTTCTGCCTAAAAGCATGGACCAATCCAATAAAAGGCAGTTCTCCTTGAACTTTGGGTAAGTGCTTGCTACTTTGTCCATATAGTGGTACAGCTTTAAATCATTCTATGATCCCATGATCCTTGTATTGATTGCGGTGCAAGCTCACTACGTGCAGTTGAAGCAACAAAGAGGGGTAAGGCAGCTGTTTCCGTGGACCATGTTAAAGCCCAAGTGACTAAGGAGAAGAGGCAAGCTGTGGTGAAGGGCACAGTAGAGCCCAAGTGGTTCAAGGGGAAGTGGGTGTAGGAAGGATTATTGGGGCAAGGGTGGTTGTTGAGGCATTGTCTACCCAGAGTGGGACAGTGTCTGACTTGGGGCTAGGGGACGGAGATGACCTCAGAGCAGTTTCTGTCCTGTTCTGTCCTCTCAGCTGTGAAGTTTGAGGCCGTGATTGGAAAGGGAAAGTTGATGGATTATCTGCCCATTTGCTGCAGGAAGCTCTGGCGTGGGTATGTTTGGAAGTATTGGCTCACGTAGGGTATGGTCACAATAGTGCTGCGGCGAATGTGATCTGGTCGAGGTGGAATTTGGTTGATTAGGGCCAGGTCTCACGGGGGTCAAGAAATGTGATGTTGCGGGTTGCCTCAATCAAGGGTGGATTGAGAGGCTGAGAAGGGGCATCAGGGGTCTTACATAGTTATGGGTTCAGTGGGGAAAATGGAGCAATCAGTTGTAACATTGAGAGGTCTGTAAGAAGAGGGTAGCTGAGGAAGGGGGATATGGGGAGTTTTGCTGGTCCTAGGGCCAACAGGAATTGCAACACACTGAAGGAGCTAAGGAATGGGGGAGGGGTCTTTGGTGTGTCATGGACAGTGCTAGGTGATGAACTTACCTAGGGCAATTATTGATCAGGCATGAATGGTAAAAATCAAAGAGAATGATGCTTGAATGCATTAAGTGACTTTCTTCACAGATCTTCTGAAATTAACAGCACAATGGAGCAATTGGGCTGGTCATCTTGCAGCTGAGGAGGAAACAATGGGATAGGATTCAGTTGCAGCTACCACCCAGGCCTGCAGAAGTGCAGCATTCAGGACCGCAAGGGACATGTCAACATTGGCCAAGATCTGCATCCAAAGGCTTCAATGCAGCTGTCAAAGAGGCAATGCCAAACGCAGCTTGGGATGTGCCAGGGCATCCTGCACTCGGACATTACTGGATTGAGGCATTGCCCTTGAAAACAGCCTCAGGAATCATGACTACAATTTCCAAAGCTTAGTCAAGCTTCACTGGGTCATGACAACGTAAGTCCACAGATGGTGTGAGATAGTAAAAGAAATTGCAATGAAATCCAGCATCTCATTGTGGCAGGAGATGGTGTGTTACATTTTCAGTTCAACAATCAGCATCTGGAGGCTCAGTGAGACTGCAGCAAATAGAACACTACAAGTGATTCTATAGTTTATTGAAATATCTTTATTATATATTTACAGAAGTGCAGACTAGTGAGCGACATACGCTGGACACCTATAATGTCCATGTATCCTAAAACTATCATCATCTTTCTTTGCCTCCATTATGTCTAGGCTCTGCCCTGAAATCTGGAGTTGAGCTGGAGGGAACCTGAAGGTCCACCCTGGTGACTGTGATGACTTGGGCAGGCATCCTCTGGGGTTCAAGGCTTACAGATTCACAGCTGCTGAGAGTCATTTGCACAAATACAAGTGTACTCTCCTTGGCCTGACCTGCTGTAGGCAATGGGGTCACTGGCAGAAGGTGACAAAGAGGCAGAGCACTTCTGGAGTATCCTGAAATGAAACCCCTGGTGTTCCTGGCTGGCACTGTTCCTTCCTGTAGGATCCTGCTGGCTTTTCCCTGGCTCCTTGATGTGAAATAGAATCTGGAGAGAGACTGGTATCTTGTTCACTTTTCACTTTGCCATTGTTGCTGCAATGGTTTGATCAGATCCAAGGGTATATCTGTAAACTGGATCTCCAAGACAGCTGCCGTCCTTTTCATGGGGACAGCTAAGCACACACATTTGAGAGCAACAATGATGGTCAGAGCTTGGATGCAGTGTTAATGTTGAGTCTAACAAGGGCGTCTGAAATCATGTGAATGTACAAATGAAGAGTAAGAGGAGGCGACTTAACCCCTGAAGCCTGCTCAGTAAGATCATGGCTGATCTGATTGTAGTCTTAAATCCACATTGCCATCTACCCTGATAACTCTTCAGCCTTTTGCTGAACAAGAATCTCTCTCTATCCACGCCTTCAAAATATTCAAGGACTCTGCATCAATACCATTTCAGGAAGGAAGTTCCAAAGACTCATGATCCTCTGAGAGAAAAAATTTTGATTAATTTCTGTTTTAAATGAGCAACCCCGGATTTTTTAAACAGTCATCCCTAGAGCTAGATTCTCCCACAAGGAGAAACATCCTCTCCACATTGACCCTGTCAAGAACCCTAAGGATCTTATATCAAGTTGCCTCTTACTTTTCTAAACTTCAGCGGATACAAGCCTAGCTTGTCCATCCTTTACTCATTAGACACCCCGTCCATTCCACATATTAGTCTAATAAACATTCTCTGAATGGCCTCCAACACATGCATATCCTTTCTTAAATAAGGAGTCCAATACTGTGCATAATAATCCAGATGAGGCCTCACTGAAGCATGGCCTCCCTACTTCTGTGTTCAATTCTTCTTACAATAATTTAGATATTCTGTTAGATTTCCTAATTACTTGCTGCTGTTTCCTTTCCCTGTCTCTGTAGGTTCATCGTAAGTCTTGTTGCTGCGTTCAGGGACATGTTACGTACAAGGGGGTCAGCAGGTGTTGCACCCAGTCTGCAGGAGAACTCTGTGTAACAAAGCATCAGACTTTGCTTCTTGTACTAGCTGAGGACCCGTGTCAATGACTTCTGATTGTGTTGTGAACCTGAGCCTAGTGTGATGGACAGACATGCTGAGGTGAACATCTCTGACTTGGTGGTGGGTCCAGGTGAATGTCGTGCTGGAGCCTCCTCTGGCTTTCGAGGGTCATTGGCCTTGGAGATGGTGCTACTGCTGAGGAACTGTTGTGGTACTTTGTGTGAGACTGCTGTGTGACTGATAGCACCTGTAGTGAAGGAAAGAGAAATAGCTGATAAAGGTGCAGAGTCCGTAATGTAACTAAGGTTTTGTGCAATGGCAGTTAGACTGTGCGCTGCCCCTACATGAGTCAGTTTGTACTGAAGAGATGGTACCCTTCCAGAGTACAGGAAATTGTTCATCATTTTTCCTGCACTGGATCTGGTCCTGTTTTGAGGGTGCCAGGCATTAGCCTGCACTGTGCCCTTAGCCCGGGCTGCCACCTCTGATGGAAGGGCAACCCTTTTAGTGTATGATCTGGAGCAAAGCCTCAGATGAGGCAGCATTGAACCTTGGGGCCGGTTTCTGCTTACTCCGAGACATCTCCAGTGGTATGTGTTGGGGATGGCTAAGGTAGACTCCAGCAATGCTGCAGGCTGGCAGAGAGTGCAGAACTGTTCAGGCGGCCGTTAAAGATGATGCCAGTCAGGACATGAACTTCCGGGCTGTGTCCAGTATAATTTATTACTCCTGTCATGAAACAACTTGCACACGTTTGGGATGAACTCCAAAACATTTGGCCACGCTAAGACTCAACCTGGACTGTGGCAGAAGTGTCAATTTCTAATACAGCCAATGCCATACTTTAACTCTAAAGAATATTCCTGTTCGAATACAGTAAAGGCCATGGTCCCGGACAACACTCTGGCAATGGTACTGAAGATATGTGCTCCAGAACTAGCTGTCCATAGCCAAGCGGTATTAGAACAACTACAATGCTGGCATCTCCTTGACAATGTGGAAAGTTGCCCAAGTATGCCGTGTCTACAAAAAACGGGAAAAATCCAACCCTGCCGATTACTGTCCCAGCAGTCTATTCTTGATCAACAGTCAAGTGGGGGCATATCCAAAGACACTCAAGTTAGTTGTAAATCGCAATCCTTTCTGCAAATTCCGTTTGTAGTTTTGCGTATGCCTCCAACCAGCTGTGTGATCTCGCATCTTCTGCACATTCACCCTCTCTGGGCCAGTGGATGTCTCTGGGGATCTTAGTTCAGACATTCTCTTTGCTGCCCCACCTGCTCACTAATGTCCCTTTTGCTGTGCCTGATCCTCCTGGTGTGTCATAACCTTTCTTAGAGCTGACTTTTGGGGTAGATGTTCTGGTTCCAACAACCCCTTCACGTGTTCCGCTAGGATCCATCAGTGCCTCTCATGTACCTCTCTGGCTGTCAAAGGGAACTGTGTAATCTAAGTGTTTAACAGTTTCATTCAAGTATGTTAGAACATAGTACAGTACAGCACAGGAACGGGCCCTTTGGCCTACGATATTGTACCGAACATGATGCCAAATTAAATTAATCCCTTCTGTCTGTCCTTGGTCCATTTCCCTCCATTCATTTTCTTATTCATGTGCTTATCTAAAAGCTCCTTAAATATCCCTATTGTATCTACCTCCACCGTGCTCCACTGGCAGTGGGTTCCAGACGCTTACCACTGTCTGTGGGGAAAAAAAAAAACAAAAAAAAAAACACCTGCTCCTCATATCTGCTTTGAACTTGCCCCTCTCACTTTGAATGCATGTCCCCTCGTATGAGACATTTCAACTCTGGGGAAAAGATTCTGACTGTCAACCCTATCTATGCATCTCAATTTTACAGACTTCTATGAAGTCTCCCCTCAACCTCTGCCGCTCCAGAGAAAACAACCCGAGTTTTTTTAGCTCATACCCTCTAAGCCAGGCAGCATCCTGGTAAACCTCTTTTGCACCCTGTCCAAAGCCTCTACATCCATTCTGTAATGTGGTGACCAGATTTAAATACAATACTCTAAATGTGGCTTTACCAAAGTCTTATAAAGCTACAACATGACATCCTGACTCTTGTACTCAATGCCCCGACCAATAAAGGCAAGCATACCATATGCCTTCTTTACCACCCTATCTACTTGTGTAGCCACTTTCAGGGAGCTATGGACTTGAACCCCACGATCCCTCTGTACATCAACGCTGTTCAGGGTCCTGCCATTGACCGTATACTTTTCCTTAACATTTGACCTCCCATAGTGCAACACCTCACACTTACCCAGTCTAAACTCCATCTGCCATTTCTCCACCCATATCTGCAACTGATATATATCCTGCTGTATCCTTTGACAACCTTCTACACCATCCACAACTCCACCGATGTTTGTATTGTCTGCAAACTTACTAACCCACTCATCTACATTTTCATCCAAATTATTTATATATATCACAAACAGCAGAGGTCCCAGTACGGATAACTGCGGAACACCACTAGTCACAAACCTCCAGCCAGAAAAGCACCCATCCACTACTACCTTCTGTCTTCTATGGGCAAGCCAATTCTGAATCCAAACAGCTAAATCACTGTGGATCCAGATCCTGTATGAGCCTATCATGAGGGATCTTGTTGAAAGCCTTAATAAAATCCTTGTAGACAACATCCACAGCTCTACCCTCATCGATCACCTTCGTCACATCCTCAAAATTTAATCAAGTTAGTAAGACATGACCTGCCCTGCACACAGCCATGCTGACTATCCCTAATTAGGCCATGCTTTTCCAAATGTGAGTTGATCCTATCCCTAAAAATTCTTTCCAATAGCTTCCCAACCACTGATGTGAGACTCACCGGTCTATAGTTTCCTGGATTATCCCTGTTTCCCATCTTGAACAGAAGAAGAACATTAGCTAATCGCCAATTGTTGGGGTCCTCTCCAGTGGCTAGCGAGGATACAAAGATCTTAATCAAGGTGCCAGCCATCATTAAGGAGGCAGTGCTGGGCAAGCTAATGGGTCTAAAGGTAGACAAGTCTCCTGGCCCTGATGATGGGGGAAATAGCAAATGCACTAGTAATTATGTACCAAAATTCACTGGACTCTGGGCTGATTCCCACACATTGGAAAACAGCCAATGTGACGCCACTGTTTAAAAAAGGAAGTAGACAAAAAGCAGGTAACTATAGGCCAGTTAGCTTAACTTCGGTAGTGGGGAAATGCTTGAATCTATCATTAAGGAAGAAATAGCAAGACATCTGGATACAAATTCTCCCATTGGGAACACCCAGCATGGGTTCATGAAGGGTAGGTCATGTTTAACTAATTTGGTGGAATTCTTTGAGGACATTACTTGCATGGTGGATAATGGGGAACCTGTGGATGTAGTGTATCTGGATTTCCAGAAGGCATTTGACAAGGTGCCACACAAAAGGCTGCTACATAAGATAAAATTGCATGGTATTACAGGTAATGTATTAGCATGGATAGAGGATTGGTTGACTCGTAGAAAGCAAAGAGTAAGGGTAAATGGGTGTTTTTCTGGTTGGCAGTCAATGGCTAGTGGTGTGCCTCAGGGGTCAGTGTTGGGACCGCAATTGTTTACAATTTACATAGATGATTTGGAGTTGGGGACTAAGTGTGGTGTGTCAAAGTTTGGAGATGACACTAAGGTGAGTGGTAGAGCAAAGTGTGCAGAAGACACTGAAAGTCTACAGAGGGATATAGATAGTCTAAGTAAGTGGGCAAAGGTCTGGCAGATGGAGTACAATGTTGATAAGTGTGAGGTCATCCATTTTGGTAGGAATAACATCAAAATGGACAATATTTTAAATGGTAAAAAAATTGCAGCACGCTGCTGTGCAGAGGGACTTGGGTGTCCTTGTGCATGAATCGCTAAAAGTAGGATTGCAGGTGCAGCAGGTAATTAAAAAGGCAAATGGAATTTTGTCTGCCATTGCTAGAGGGATGGAGTTTAAAAACAGGGAGGCTATGCTGCAGCTGTATAGGGTCCTGGTGAGACCACACCTGGAGTACTGTGTGCAGTTTTGGTCTCCTTAATTGGGAAGGGATACACTAGCATTGGAGGGGGTGCAGAGGAGATTCACTCGGTTGATTCCAGAGTTGAGAGGTTTGGATTATGAGGAGAGACTGAGTAGACTGGGATTATACTCGTTGGAATTCAGAAGAATGGGGGGAGATCTTATAGAAACATATAAGATTATGAAGGGAACAGATAGGGTGGAGGCAGGGAGGTTGTTTCCACTAGCAGGTGAAACTAGGGCTAGGGGGCATAGCCTCAAAATAAAGGGAAACAGATGTAGGACTGAGGTCAGGAGGAACTTCTTCACCCAAAGGGTTGTGAATCTGTGGAATTGCCTGCCCAGTGAAGCGGTTGAAGCTATCTCGCTTAATATTTTTAAGGCAAGGCTAGATAAATTTTTGAACAGTAAAGGAATTAAGGGTTATGGTGTGTGGGCGGGTAAGTGGAGCTGAGTCTCAAAAAGATCAGCCATGATCTTATTGAATGGCGGGGCAGGCTCGAGGGGCCGGATGGTCTACTGCTTCTAGTTCATATGTTCTTATGTTCAATTCCCCTCTTGCGTTTAACAATAACCTGGGATAGATAATATTGGGCCCTGGGAACTTAACCACTTTAATGCTCTTCAAGAGACCCTACACTATTTCTTTCTTGATCTCAAAATGCCTCAGCATATTAGCATGCTCCACACTAATCTCACTATCCTGCATATCCTTCTCCTGGGTGAATACCAATGCAAAGTACTCATTTAGGATCTTGCCCACATGCTCTGCCTCCAAGAGCAAGTTCCCTCCTTTATCCTTGAGTGGTTCCACCTTCTCTCTAGTTATCCTTTTGTTTTTAATGTATCTATACTTTCCGAGGTCATTTCGTGGCCCCTCCTTGTTCTCCTGTTTCCCAGCTTGAGTTCTTTCCTGCTTTCTTTATATTCCTTATGGGCTCTGTCTGATTTTAGCCTCCGAAACCTTACATATGCTTTCTTCCTAAATCCACAACCACCCTCTTATCCAAGGGTCCCTTACTTTGCCATTCTTATCCTTCCTCCTTACTGGAACATGCTGGCCCTGAATTCTGACCAGCTAGTCTTTAAACAATTCCCACATGTCAAATGTGGACTTGTCTGATAACAGCTCCTACCAATTAACTCTTCCTAGTTCCTGCTAATACTGATGTAATTTGCCCTCCTCCAATCTAGTACCTTCCTGCAATGTCCTGACTTATCCTTATTCATAGCTTTCTTAAAACTTAGGGAGTTGTGATCACTGTATCCAAAATGCTCTCCCACTGAAAGGTCATCTGGCTAGGCTCATTAGCCAATACAAGGCCCAGTATGACCCCTCCTCTAGTTGGACTATTCGCAAACTGTTTCACGAAACTGTCTTGATTGCATTGAACAAATTCCGCCCTGTCTAAACCTCTTGCTGTAAGGCAGTCCCAGTCAGTACTGGGGAAGTTAAAGTCACCCATTATGACAACCCCGTTGTTAGTGCACCTTTCTATAATCTGCCTACGTATTTGTTAATTGATGTCCCAGTGGCTGTTAAGGGGGCTTATGGTATAATCGCATCAGACTGATTACATGTATCTTATTTTTGAACTCTACCCATATTGCCTCAGTGGATGAGCCCTCCCATATGTCCTGTCTGAGTGCAGATGTAACATATTCCCTGATTAGTAGTGCAACTCCTCCACCTCTTTTGCCTCCCTCTCTAGTCTAAAATAACGAAACCCTGGAATGTTCAGCAGCCAGTTCTGTCTGTTCTTCTTGCATCCAGGTCTCTGTAATGGCCACAATATCATTGTCCTATATACTGATCCAGACTCTAAGCTCATCTGCCTTACCCATAATACTCCTTGCATTGAAATAAACACATTGCAGCCCATCACTCCCATCGTGTTCATTTACCTGTCTTTGCTTTTCCTTCCTTTCAGACTTACTGGTCCTAACTTCTACCTTCCCCTCAATCCCTCAACTTGCTGACCTGCTGGTTTGGTTCCCAGCCCCCTGCCACTCTAGTTTAAACCCTATCGATGTTGGATATGTGAGATGCCCTTTCCAGTCATCCGTATCGAGGTGCTAACTCTAAAGCCCAGGTAGCACAATTAATTACTGCTACACACCCAGGTAATTCTGGGTGACTACAGCAGATTGCTTAGTTGAGAGTTACACATTGGGTCCCATATTTTTATGGCCTTGTTTTCTGAGGAGGGACAATCGCAATCAGATTGCACTCTGCTCAAACTATTTATACATTAGGAGTGAGATCTACATTTCTGAGGGAATTCTGATTAGGCTCCTACAAAATATGAAGCATACTTTAAAGCTGATAGGGATAAATCTGGAGGGAAGGCAAACCACACGCTGCTCTTTCACAGTCGTGAATTGGTGTATTCTGTGATTTAAAAGTCCAGCATCACAGACACTTGCTTAGGCAACTCTTGTAAAAGGGTAAGTGTGTAGTTGGAGTGCCAGGTAAAGAAAGTACTAGATATGTAAGGTGGCAGGTTGGTGGAAAGGTATGGTGCCAGGTTGGGGGTAGGGTGACGTGTGAGCGGAGTTCAGGCTGGGTAGGGTGATGGCTGAGTGGGAAGCAAGGTGGGTAGAGTGATGGGTGAGCAGGGTACAGGGTGGGTAGATGAGCGGAGTGCTGGGTGAGTAGGGTGATGGGGAGTGGCGTATAGGGTAGGTAGGGTGCAGGATGGGTAGGGTGACAGGTGAGCGGGAGCAGAGTGGGTATGGTGACAGGAGAGCAGGGTGCAGGGTGGATAGGGTGGTTAAGGTGAACGGGGGTGAGGGTAGGTAGAGTGATGGGTGAGCAGGCTGCAGGGCAGATAGGGTGAGTGGGGTATCAGGTGAGCAGGATGCAGAGTGGGTAGGATGGGTAAGGTGAGTAGGGTGCAGGGTGTGTACGGAGACAGGTGGTAAGCAAGGTGCAGGGTGGGTAGGATGGGTAAGATGAGTAGGGTGCAGGGTGTGTAGGGAGACAGGTAAGCAAGGTGTAGGGTGGGTAGGATGGGTAAGGTGAGTAGGGTGCAGGGTGGGTAGGA